ATATGTTAATGAATTGCATACAAATCAAATATTTCTTTTTCATATGAAGTATTTTATTTCCCAAATTATAAATTGATATTCATTGTTCACAGGCTCTCTTAGATATTTATATGATATCATTAGGAACGTACTAAAGTTAAATATATAATTGAAATTGTATCTTTACGTGTAATGGGAATTTATAATTCACTAAAGACCGCCTTTTCAAAAGAATGCTTAAAACACCCAGTTAAAATCATTTTTGCTCAAGGTATTTACACTGTATTGGCAGTTACGCAATGATTTGTTATAAGACTCAAATCTTCGTATGATAACATATACATATGTTTGAAATGGAAAATCGGACGGTTGTTTCGTATGTTTAGGCTGCAGGCAAATAATCTTCAGGATTTCTGTAGAATAAGACAGATACTAGAATAAATTTTATAACATACTATCGCAAAAGCAGTCTGTCTTTTTGAAGTAGAAATTGGAGAATTCTAGCATAACTTAACTTAAAACAGTCTAGGAGTGTGAGGTATTTAAATTTCCCCTATTTCATTTATATGTAAAACAGTATGATTCCCATAAAACATTTTTGAAAATTTTCAACAGAAATATCAAATAGATTATCGTAAAACAAAGTACCGCTGAGCACTGATTCAAAGTAACCATTTTCATTATGTAATAGCGTATGATAAGTTTTTTTCTGATATTAGATTATTTGTATCGGATTTGCTACAGTGTTTCTTCAAATAGCCCAAGGACAAACAAGCTATTTCGTATCCAAATACAAAGTAAATATTAAAAGTTAATGCTGCTACGACAAGTTAATGTCCATTTAAACCGCCCAGAATTAGTGACAATAATTATAAATTGCAATTGCCTCCACAGATATATCTAACTCAAACCACTTTGACTTGTGGCCTTGAATCAAGGCCTCGATAAATGCAGGTAATTTTCATATTTTTTCCATGGTGTTATATCGTTATATCACTTCTTCACAGGGCATGTCATAAAACTTAGATGCTAGCATGATTGTATCAACGTTATTATAAGCTCTACATAAATCATACAGTTTCTCAGCTACAATATATTTTTATGACATGATACCATCAAAAATCCGTCATAAATCGTTTCCGCCCGACTCCTGTTTTGTTTCTTTCATCAATTTATTATCAGAGTGATTGCACAAGTGAGTGAGACTCCGACAGCCTTGACTTTAATTTGTTCTGACATTTAAAATCTCAACACCCACAATTATCTAACAATTCAAGTAAAGATTCACGACTTAACCGATCCTAAGATTATTTCTGCATAGTTTGTTTTGTTTGGCATTCCAAACTTATTTTCACATGACTTTTTACTGACCAAAGAGATGCAGTTGTCTATCAACTAGTTCCGTAATGCATCAATCTGAATATGACAAAAGTTCCAAAGGAGTTTCTTAATTTCTTAATATAATATCAATCTATTTAAACAGGTTTTCTACCCGCTCGACCTAACTTTAAACTAAAATGCGACTTTTTGATATAAAAACACATTTTTAGATTGCAAACTGAAGGCTTTGTGTCCTTTTATATGTTCGCCTATCTTATCATTTCTGTTAATTTTATTTACAAACATTTATCTTAAGTAGAAGCATTTTACAATCAGCTAATGTCATGTTAACAAAAGGTATGCCAAAATATTAAAAAAAACACAAAAAAAAACTGTACATCGATTCACATCGTGCTTTTAATTTCATAGCGCTTTATTTCCAATGAACGATATCAAGTTGCGTTGAGCAACCATATTATTACCTTTAAGTTAAGTTATGACTAAAATTCTTTGAAAATTCGACTGCATAATTAGTCAAAATCTTTTAGTGCCAGTGTTGGATATACAGATACCTATTTCATAAGCTGTTTTAGTCAACATCTTACGTTATACCACCCATATGGAAAAACCACACTATAATCCGAAATTTATCTCAACTGCTGACAGAACCGATACAAATGATAGAGGAAGCATTTAAGAATACAAAGTATTATATATTATATTGAACCAATATATGAAAGTTAAAAACATATAAAAAATGAAATGTACACATCTGATATAGTTTATGTGACATTGAGTGTGCATGCGTGTGAAGATAGGATTTAATGCTCAATCCAGAGATCTCAATCTCATAATTTCTCATGCTCATAACTTTAAATGTTAATTATCTGTGAACCAAATATTTAAAATATTTCTATCACACATGTTTACATGTTTTTCATCAACTAATTTAGCATTTCCATTTACAACTAAAGTGTTTTTACTAGCCGAATTAAGAAATTATGCAAAAAAAAGTGAATTAGATGACCAAATATATTTCATATCTTGATTATTGATTCTTACAAATTGTTATGTATTTGCTACCTGATTGCCTTTATTCAAAATGAGATTGATGGTCTTTATTTATAAATGAGTGTACACCAAAATGATGGCTATGAAAACAAATAGTACAGGACCTAATTTAAATTTGCTTTGAAAATGAACAAAAAGAAATTTACGGTAATATTCTATACGTTTAGATCTATATGATATCATTTTTATTTGATATTTCTATTTCATTTCTATGTTTGGTACATAGAAATGGATTCGAACAATCAAGTGTTTTGTCTCCAGAATTCTTGCTGACATGAATGTGTTATAAATTCGCTACGAATGTCCTCAAACGACAAGTAAATGTCTTACTTCCTTTATGTTTAGTTTGTCTGTGGGATAGGTACTTCAGTTCCAATTAAGCTAAGTCTGGCTTAACATGTCTATAGAATAATTGTTCCATACAATTTTCCTAATTCGTTATATTGAGATCCAGTTAATGGTTATCATTGTAATTAATTGCTTATTGTTAAAAAAGAACACATATTCAATACTTATGCTGGGAGTTTAAACGTGATCCTTACTTAAAATGCATATTAGAAAATAAAACTGATTGTAGACTTTTTGCTTTGCGGACTTTATAGATTAATATGAGGCCTTTTAACAATCCTAAACTTAATGAAAGATATCTAAGCATCAGTATCAAAGCCATTTAACTTTCTCAGAAATTATGAAAAATAGTAATTGCATAAGCTTAGGTAGACCTACAACTTTGGAAAACTTGGAAAGTACATTAACAGGTGTGATTAGCGCAGACTTTCAAAGTGTTATTGGCAATAAACTGCGCATTTCGTTACATTATCGCTACAAATAATTATAATTTAAGTAGGAGTTGGAATATAAGTAATGTCATGTCTGATCTACAAAAACATAGTTAGAATAATGCTAGAATTATTATTCGTTTTTGATAAGATAGCCCTATGCTATATTTTATAATCTGAGTAGCCTGTGTTTAAATTTCTCCAAAATGAATTCAATCTTAATATAAAGGCCGTTTATATGTACACAACATTATCAATTAATTCAAGTTAAGGAAGAAAAGAATAGAAAAATATCTTAGAGAACGGTATTCAACAAATATAAACACACTTTAAAACTATTTTATTTTGTTATCAATGTCTTATTAATTTTCCTAATTAAAAGTTAAATACATTGCAATAGATGTCCAAATGTAATGGATTTTTATTTATTTGGAGTGGTACATTTATTAATAATTTAACAAGATCAAGTGACAAATGTTTTGCTTATTTGCAATATTTCCATTAGTTAATAGCAATGCAAGATGTGCGAATATTTGGCCCGATTAAATATTCAACTATCTTCCTTTATACCATGCAAATAAAACCTTTTTAAAGACTCAATAAAACAGTTATATAAGGATATAATGTTAGAACTATGGCTTTTACTGTGGGTTGACAGTGACTCGTGATTCATAAATAAAATGATTTCAGTTTTGATGCCAAGACTATACGATATGATTACGTTTTAGAGTAATTTTGATAGTAAAAATTCATGTTATAAAATGCATTATTAATTGGAGACGATGCATTTATCTTCCTGGTTTTATTTTAAGTAATGAATGTAAATCATATGTCTAAATTATATGTTTCTTTCCGTATTATTTGATAATAATTATTGCTTAATGTGTAACATAGTCAGCGTTCCAAAGACACGCAGAGATTGATTAGATATCTCATCAAAAATCTCAGACAAGCAGGATGGCGGCACAAACATGTGCAAATGAGTTTTGAATTGGAAACAATTGAGATTTTGATGCATATCCCTTAATTGATTCATCTGCATAAACATCTAAATTGAATGTGTGCAATGATATAAATGATAACTAAGTGCATTTTAATTTCTAGTTTTGCAGCTTGACATAACATCGCTGCATGGGATGCAATTGACATTAGAGTATGTGCCCTGCAATAATTCTTGATCATAATCATAAAGGCAATTTAAATTAGGTTTTCTATGTATCCTCCGAATAATTATAAAACTGATTCCCTCCAAAAACCTTTTTTTCTTAAATATGTTCAAAGTACATGTAATTTTATATTTTGCGACATTAGAATTTATTAATGAACTGTCATACATATAAGAGTAATGGAACTAAATTTATTTACGTTACGATATACCACTACCTTTTCACATCCTATTTTCAGTATAGAAATAATGAATAAAAAATGATATAGATAAACTACGTAGTTGTTTGTTTTGGGATTTTTGTTTGTTTGTGTGTTGTTTTTATTTCATTGTTCGTTGTCCCAACAAATGGTTTACTTTCTTGCGAAATAAAATATCAAAACGTATTTTAAATTTCTTTTTTATTATTATTTATGGATTAATATTTATGATTGATAAGATCTGATGTGTTTCAAGAAGAAGAAATGTATTTTGATTTTTAATTTTAGAGAAAACCTAGGAAAAACCCCTTATTTAATAAGAATTGAATTATTTTGAACTTTTTTTTATTGATCATGTTCGCCTGTTCAAATGCGCACGAAAAGTTAAAATACAAAGTTTCTATTCTACATTACATCCTTTTGCGACTTTTAAGAATTACATGACTTTTACATTAATATTATATTATTTTATTTTGTTTGTTTCAGGCAATATCGTCCTATTCCTACACGTGGACATTGGGATTGTTCATGTGTAAATTTGTGTACTATATTCAAGCTGTGTCAATGATTGGGTCAGCACTTACACTAACAGTGATGAGCATAGAAAGGTGAGTGAATGTAACATTAGATCACCTGAATGCAATTTGTCAATACCGTTTATCATTAAAACGAACTTTGCATTAATTTTGAATGGATAAGATAATAATGCATTCTTACATGTTATTTATAAATCAATTACAACCCTTACGCCAATTAATAAAGGCTCGTTAAATTCAGATAGTACGGCATCAACTATTAGAATACTGTTAGATCTTCAAGCATGTTACATATCATGGCATAATGGCATATGTGATCTATTAAGGGCTGAAATATAAGCTTATTTGTATAAGTCAATTTATAGCAAATTAGAATTCAATATAATCAAGTAATAACAAAAGATACCAAAGTTTTATACTCCCTCCATAGATAATTATAGCATTTTATAATCACATTCGACTTTGAATCTTCTAATTTAAACAATGAACAGAACATGTAAAAAACGTAATATTTAGTGATAAAAAATGAATATTTTTAAGATTTTATTTGCCCTTTATTGTAAATTTGATAATTATAAATTAACAAACAAATGTAAACAGCTGTCCTGTATAAATGACGCTATGAAAGCGAATCGAATAATAAAATCATCTTTGTAAGATAGCTCGTTATGTTTAGCTTTTATATATTTATTTTAAAACAAAACATTTCAGATGTTAAAATAGAATATATATTTTTCAGATTCATTGCTATCCGGTATCCACTAAAGGCCCGTTCTTTGTGTACGAAACGACACGCAAGAATTGTGATTATTTCAACTTGGGTGACGTCATTTGCTACCGCTGTTCCAACAATCTTTGCTATTGTAAGTTTTTACCGTACAATTATTAATTATCTATATATATCTAATTTTTGTCAATATTTACAAGATAAACATTGATTTATTATTGCTTCTAGCAATATATATAATATAAACTGAACCTAGTCAACTTACGTTGTTAAAATAGAACCTCTATTACGCAAGTCATATTTTGGAAAATGTTCAAAACCTCCTGATAGTAATTACTATTAACATTATTTGAAATATTTTAAAGATACCACCCATTTCACGTTAATGTCACTCATTCTTTATCACCTTCACGTGATACTTTATTAACTACGTCACTCCTTACTGGATTGTTCACAACAAAATAAGCCACATAGACTCATGATTTATAAGCCAACACAATCTCAGCATAAATCAATCACAAGACGAGCTTTTTGACAGTAGTGCAGAATGAATTCGCCTTTTCTTTTGGCGCAAAAACACTATTCATTAAGCACATATCTTTACATCATTCGTATTTTTATCAGACTATTTTGATACGCGGAGGTTTATCAGGTGTTAGCAGGTTGTAATATATTATATTGCAAACAGTTTGTTTTTACAGATGTGTGTAATGTTTATTTAATTCAAATTGTAAGTGAAATATAATGAGTTTTGGTGAAACTGTAACATTGAATAAACCACTCTTTGTTTGACTGGAGAGATAAAAAGCATGTGAAAGTTATACATATATTTTGATACCAATTGTCAAACATCCAGATTAAATCTATAATAAAAATGCTTATTCGCCAAGTCACAATAGAATAAAAAAAGTTACAACTGTTTACTTCTTCGAACAATATAAGTGTGTATTATTGTCATCTAAAATAACAAACATTTGTAGAATTGTTTTAATTAAAGCTGGTTAAATATCATTTTAGCAATATCGAGAGATCGTCGGCATTCATCGCACTGCTATTTGGTGTCACAAGTACTGGGAAGAATCACCCATGTTTGGTAAAGCGTACGAGTTATACATGTTACTGTTGATTCTAGTTATACCGTTTTCTGTGATGATAATTACATACACTTGGATTGCTAATATAGTGTGGCACGTGGCTACACGCAGAGCTGATATGCGATCTGGCAGGTACAATTTTTTTGTTTAAATCATAACGATTGTATATATTTTTTGACACCATATCTCTTAGCATTGGGCAAAACAGGATACAGCTGTCACGAGAAATATAAATCGATCAAAATTAATATATCGTTTATATGTGTTCATTTCATTACCTTTGTACCAAATCTTCACTAGATAATACTTAAGTGACATTATGCTCATATTTTCATCGTCAAGTTGAGCTAAATTAACTTTATATTTCAAAAGATTGACTGTCAAAATGGCGATTGACCAAAAGTTGATATTGGAAAATGTTATGGGTAAAATTATAAATCTGTCTAAAATTTAAAAAGACTGCCCCACTCTTTTTATAAACTAAGCGTTATTGGTAAATTCTTATGGATATTTACAGAAATTTCTTGTGGATCTGTGAGTTATTCAATGTTTATGCGACTTAATTATAAAATTAAAAGGAATTATGGCTAAATGAAAACATGTTTTGACTTTCACCCGTTCACCCACTATACACCCTTGGATGGGCATAATATCACTTTAGTAAAACTGTATGATCAAACAAAAAGAAGTGAACCTTTAAAGTTTCACTGCATTGAAACGTAATCTTACCATGTATTACAAAACGAATTTTTTTCTGCTTCTTACCTCGAACATTTTTAGCCACTCATTTACTTCTGTGTGTGTAATGCATTGTTGATAATTTCTAGTTGTATATCCGATGCAAGTGGTGAGAAACCAGTTCTAACCCCGGCAGCGGAGACACAAATAAAACCTCCTGTAGTGCCTATAACTTCGCCATTGTCGGTGGGACCAACAAGCCGGGCTTCTACAGATGATGATAAAACTCGTAGACAGGTAAAAACTGTTGTTTGGTTCTTTCATTCTATTCAAGAAAGGCAGCACACATTTGAATACGATTCGGTGTTTATTTGTTTGTTTGATTTTACGGCGCATCAAAACAATTTAGGTCGGCGATGTGGTGTACATCTTATTTGAGTATATCAAAGTCTATCAAGTTTTGCTCGGAACGCTATTATAAGTAATAAAGCAGTTTTGTAACTGTTATTGGTTGAAGAATACTAGTTACTGGAGCGGTACCTTTGATGTTTTTTTTTTTAAATTTTTCCACAACATAATCAATCAATAAAACCCTCAGCTTATCAGCTTATATACCTTTATTTCTTATATATCTTTAATTCATGCTAATTTCTCTTTTGTTTTAAATGAAACAATTGTATAAAAATTTTGTATACATGTACATACAGTAATGAAACCGTTCGATGATAAAGTTTTGTACTTGCACATGCATGCTTTATGTAAATATACAGTATTATTTTCAGGTGGTTATGATGCTGATGGTGGTTGTGGTATTATTTGCCGTCTGCTGGACTCCAGTACTTGTCAACAATGTTCTTGTTGCCTTCCAACACATGGATTATTTGCATATGGGATATCTCAAGCCCCTAAGAATGGTGTTCCATTTGCTGTCTTACGCAAACAGCTGTGTTAATCCATTTGTGTATGCCTTCATGTCTAAGAATTTCAGAGACGGATTCAAACAATCTATTCTGACATGTATAAAGGGCCAGGCCTATCTTGGGCGATCACATACCATAGCGCGTTCTATGACGTCAACAACGCGCGCATCTATGTCGAACGGTTGGTCCATGACTAATGGAAATGATGGTAAAACGTCAGGTCAAAGATTTGATTCTATTGCACTCCGTCGGCCAAGTGAATTCGATGACACGGACAATAGACGTCTGTAATTTCATTTGCTGTTATGTAGAATGACATGTGTTCAAAATGGTCTCAATAGAAACTGTCGTGTAGAAAACTTCATTTGAAATATTCATGAAAACACTTTCATGAAATCAAGTTCGAGCTATAATCGTCATTGCATGAAACGGTGTCATTTGTATTATTATACAAACGAATTACGTATATACTTCTTATGTTTTTAAATCCTAGATTTTAAAGTAAAGCTTATTTCTATGTATGGATTAAATAAGTTAAAATGTTTATATTTGGCGTTACCTCATACAAGTGGTGCTAACTGTTGTAAAACATATAAATGTGGATTTCTAAAGTTATATTTCCGTTTAAGTTCACTATTTTGACAAAGAAATATAACCTACAGATCTGTTTTGATAATTGCTTTATTTTGATTATGTTTATGACATGAACGATAATTTGTTTTCAGTTCTAGGAGCTACTTTCATTTCGAGACTTTCTCTGGGTTTCAGCCTTAAATAATTAGAGGAGGCGTTTGTCTTTTCTATTTGTACAAAAAACTGTCTGATGTAACTTTTGAATATATCAAACGGCATGACAGTGTAAGCAGTTTGTATACACATACCATATGCCTGATCTAAACAAACCGCCTATTACACGGACCAAACATTTACTGTAAAAAACTAGTTTATATTTATGACGAGTATTTACATTGTTGGCTCAGCACCATTTATTTGTGGCAAACACACGTTTAGCAAAAGGTGTAACAAGAATTGAAAAAGCAAAAAAAAAAAAAAAAATGCATAAATCTAGTTCATTACTTTCCAATAACTCGGTTATGTCAAGTTACGAAGAAGTTGTCATTATATATATTTGCTGCTCGTCAATTTTAATTGCTTTCGTTTTAGAAACTCCTTTATAAATCATTATTATTTTGTACTTGCCTTAAATAATGAGTACGAAACAATGGATGTTCTTTTAAACTAACACTCAGTACATGTGATCAGTCGTGATTGTTCTTTAATAATAACAGATGATACTGAGGTGTAATGAACTTGTTATTTGAATGTTATGTAAATATGATGTTTTGTTTTTATGTAGATATGTAAATAAGACACAATATATCCGTTAAACTAATACAAATATATTTGAATATACAACTAATTAAGAACAGCAATACAAGCACATCTTCTACACAAACACACATGTGAAATATACTCACTCATTGGTAATGTCAACATAAACACCAAAATAAATAAACGTTTAAATATACATTTGCGAGCTCAACGGTAACTAAAACACATGTATATAAGATACACATCCACTCACATACACAAATGTAATACATATTTGGCATTATTTTTTCACCTATACAGCATTTATTCAATGAGCGGGACTCATTGTTTTAAATTGAATAAATACGTTATGTATATAAAATTGTGACCAATAATGATATTCATGAACATTTTGATATGAATGTACTATATTTGCGCATAGTTAAATATACATTTGACCTTTTGATCCTGATATCAAACAATACTTCCATTTAGACAGAAGCTTCCAAACTTAAAAATAAATACATGCCAATTTTTATTATTCATAGACGATAAAATACTGCATACCAGTACATATACATATTTTTGCATGTCTCGTTTGCATCTAAACAAAAATCAATTAAAATATATATGTCATTCTGTGCATGCAATTTATGAACATAAGAGCTAAAAATGTAAATTTTATATTATTGTTTGCTTTGACGCATTCGGAATTGATATAATATTAATGTGTAAGGCTAACTTTGTCTTAAAGCAATAAGGTTTTTCATCATGCAAAATAATAACCTAATATTGATACAGTAAACTTCACTTATAGCGAACACGGATATAGCGAACTTCCGGTTATAAGGAACAATTTATTTTGGCCCGAATTTTGCCCTTCTTTATTTAATATAAAAATATACGGTTATTGCGAACACGGTTAAAAGCAATTATCGCTTATAAGGAACTCATTTTTTAGTCCCAATTTAGTTAAAAGTACAGAAAATTACACTTTTATAACGAACTCCAAAATACAGGCTATCCGTAAATAGAACCCGCATGTTTCGTTTTCATTGGCGGCCGAATGTACCGTTTATTGTTGAATGAACTTCAATACATCTATGAAAATGAATTTGTATAGAAGTACGTAATAGTTTTATATTTTGGATATTTTAGCACGAGTTCTTTTCACCAAAATAAAACGGTTATTCCTTTAATTCTTTTATTTACCTTTTCTTAAATAGTTTTGCTCGAGTAGAATAATTATGATAATTTATAATCCGTTTTTTAACATAATCAGCATGCTTGCAAGCATAATCCATTGAAAACATTAAAGTAGGCTCGATTGAAATGGAAAGAAATCTATATATTTTATCTGTTAAAGCACGGATTTATATTATAAATCCGTGGTTAAAGTCACCCTTAAAATATAAAAGAAGATATTCAATATGAAAGGAATGAAAAATCGAAAATCTTGTTTATTCTCAATCATGGAAGGAAAACGAAAAGCCTAGGCCCCGTGTTTACAAATATAAAAGGATAGGATCAAATTTAAAAGCTCTAATTTCCTTCATTTTTTATCCTCACGGATTGAATATCTAATATTAATTTGATAAAACTGGGCTTGTACTAGCAAATTATTGAAATTTTAGAATAAATTAATTGTTATTTGTACATGATACGGCTATTTTACAGTTGAACCAAATATTGATCCTGATCCTAAAATTAATCCTTATTTTGATTCAAATATTTTTGTACATGTATTTGTTTTGTTATTTGCAAATAGTTTGGTTTCTTTGCAAATCAGCAATTTTTAACCTTTTGAATATTTACCATTTAAGTCTAGCAAAACACTATAAATTCTAGAAACATAAAACAATGAAAATAAAATCAGGATCACTTGATCCTACATGATCATGATCCTTTCTTTGTGAATCAAATGCTCTTCACAAAGGCGCACGATGGTAAACAATCAGTTCGTTATATGTTAATCTGTTCGCTATACAAGGAACTAATTCGCTATATGCTTAGAAGGAACTTCGGATATAATGAACAAATTTTGAATGTCACAATGAGTTCGCTATAAGCGGAGTTTACTGTATATGTTATAAGCTCTTATTGTTCAAACATTAGACTTAAATGAATTATTATTTGTATTGTCATTTACATCTTTAAATCGTCATGATTTAATTTTTCAGATATGTTATAAAGAACTGTCTCAACAATATTTCACGTTATAATGATCCACCAGTACAGTTGATTATATCTGAACAGTATTAAAAAATCTAAAACTGATAAAACATAATAAATTAAAATCATATTGTAACATGTTAATAAATTATGAGCTTTCTTCACTTTTTATTCACAATATTTTGTTTTCAAAATCGATTGTAATTAACACAAACGATGTAAATCGCTTTAAGAAGAAATATATTCAGGAACTGTTGTATAATTATGTGACTCTTGTCATTGCTTTAACACTATTAGTTAAAAAGACTTTTGACAAATTATATATACAAACGGAAATAACCGCTTAAATACGGTCATATAACCTGTCAAGAATCTTATAACAAGTTTATAATACTGCAAACTTCCTGCTTTACAGCAAAAACTGAAATCACTTCGCAAAAAATCGAATTCAGCCGTGTAATACTATATACATGTAGATTATTTAAACGTCATGATTGTCCAATGAAAAACAACGTTACAAAAAATGCAGTATTATAATAATATAATAATAATACAAACGACCAAGCGTAAAGTGTAAAAGATCATATGCTATTCACGCTACGTCTTAGGTGTATCAGAATATTTGAAATGAAAGTCACAGAAATTTTTAATTCTTAAAAACAAACTTCTAATGATTTTCAATACAATTACACTTCCTTGCATAGTACATTTACACAAATTAGCTTTTACATTAATTTTCTGAAATTATTTGAGATTTTATTGTCTCAATAATCTGATGATTTTACATTCAGATCATGTACTGTTCAGTTGCATGCATCTATGTTCTATTGTTGTGTATAAAGGAAATTACATTTTTATCGTTATCATTTTGTGAAAATATCATTTTTTCATGCAATATTAAAAATGTTTTCATATATTTGTGACAATGTTGTACTCTTTCAGCAGATTATAAAATACATACTATTTTTACAACCATGCTAGTGTTTGTTTTTGTTAGTTGCTCGAGACTCAACAGTTTGTGCTTATATCTTATTATATCATTTGAATTTACCTAACAAGAATACTCGAAAATGTAATATGGTTCAGTTCAAAGTCAAAACTCGAACAACTAGTTAACCGCCGATTAGTTTGCAGAGTCCAATGTCGGTGGTAACATTTTAGCTAGAGGGTAATGCTAATATTGTGTAATGTTAATACAAAAAGAAGAATCTTTTGTCTTGTATTCAGTCTGAAATATAACAATTCAACAAATATAACAATATAACAACAAAGTGAATGAACGACAACATAATGAGTCAATTTTGTCAAAAAATTATCTGGAAATGGTGATCCCTCGGAAACAATATAATGAAACAACAATATTACATGAAAATTACAAACTCAGTTTGATAGAGTTTGTTTATGAGAGATAATGTAAAAGACTAAAAGTGCAACATCTCTCACTCTCCTGGCAACAGCTTAGGCAGATTCAATCTTCAACACTACTGTACTTGAGTCAATGATCCAGGATGACGAGAAAAATATATAACAATACTGAAGTGAAGTACGGGAAAACCTTTTACAACTACTACTTGACACCTACTTTTGTGAAGTATAAAAATCTGGAAACGGGGTACCCTCGGACGCAAAGGCACAGCAATGTTATATAACATTTGCAGACCTGGTTTGATTGAGTCTATTCGTGAGAGATAATTAATGCAAAAGTGTAACACTTGCCAATCACCGCGATAGCGTATAATCCAACCAACAGTTTTGGACTTTTTCATCTAAGGAAAATATCTTACTAGCTTACGGTGATTGCCTGAAATAATGCACGTAGTGGTTCCTGGAGTCTTACTCCACTAATAAACCAGGAAAGTCGCCATAAAACCTTTAGAGTTTTGGAGCGGTGTAAAACCAATCAAAAATGTTTTATAAATTTAGTAATCTGATATTTTGAGGCGAAGTTATTTAGACACAAGAACTTGATAAAATCATATCAAATTTCAATAACTTTGTAAACGCAACCGCCTGGATGAACTTATCATTTTAACATCATGGCGCCACACTTGTCCACGTCTTTTTCATGAAGGATATCAATCTAAATTTTGTCAATATGATTATTTTATTTATATCGTCAGCCTTTTGTAAATGACAAATAATTTCTTCTAATGCGTATTTTGACAATAAATGCCAAATATGATTTACGTACTTCTAGAATTTATTTAAATGATTTATATCTTTATTAGAAATACTTCACTATATATCAAACATTCGATTTTCCTACACGAAGAAAAAAGTCTCATTTATATACATTTTGTTAAATTTAATATCTTATAAAATTGTCAATACGAGAATACTGAACTGTATCAATATTCCCAAGATATTTAATTAATCTATTAAGAGAGGTATATATCAAAAGATAAGTAATTAAAACGTGCTATATAAGACAGGGATCGACGATTCGAGCCTTATACAGGTTGCGATCATATCCATACTGCTTCAGTAATGTTTAGTTGAAGGAAGTCAAGAGTTGTTCATATCAGGCTCAAGTAACGTGAAGATCAAGCTAAAATCAATATGTTTATGAACAATTATAACATTTATAACTATTTATAGAAAATACATCGCTAAATAATTAAATGTTTAACTTTTAGCTAAGAGGACAGTAATGCAAGAACAGTTAACTTTTTAAGATCTAACAAAATCTTGCGGAAATCAGTATTCAGTCCAATTTTTGAAACTAATCAGTGATGGTGTTACATGAGAGGTAAATGTCATGACCCAAATTTATCTCAAACCTTGGATTCCTGGGTGCTAGACAGGCACATTAACCACTTGGTTACCGCTACGCTTTTAAACGTGTATAATCAGCAGCCTTAAAAATTAAGTCGCACTTGTTAAGTAGTTTATGTTTATGTACTATATATTTATTATTTTTTGTACTGTTCTCGAGAGATCTCCCATATCCTAAAATTTATGAAAGAAATATTGATCTTCCTTATGAAAGACTAAAATCTACATAAATTAATGTAGAATGCAGACACAACGATTACAAGCAAGATTTTTTTAAAATGGCCAATTAATCATTTTGTTGCTTCATAGACACAAAATCACATAAATCTACATATTATCGTTTTATTACTAGTCATACATATTAACAGTATGCAGTGGCTAATTATACAGATACACAGATTGCAAGCTAAACCTTATTACCGTTTTGTCTCCTCTTATTCCCTGCGGTCTGGAGACCGCAGGGTATTGGTACGCGTTTAACTTTTGAGGCATGGAGGAGCACGTGACCTGTTTTCGGTACATGGAGGAGCATGTGATCTGTAAACCGTACATGATTGGTTAATTGACCTTTTCTAAAACCTGGCTAAATACCGTTTGCCGGTACGTTACGGATTTACCTCTAGGGAATAAGTCAGAATAACACCTAATTAAGAACAAAAAACTATTACGTGATATTTCTAATTTTCTATAATTATTTTACCGTTTAAACTTGAATGATGTGTTTGAAAATTATCAATGTTTCTTTAATATGCATCTCAAATTTTACAAACAATAAATTGTTTATACTTCGACCTTCTCCGGTCATCAACGGTCACCAGTCTTCTATATTGATCGATTATTGTTAACTATATTCCTGAAACAAACGTTTATTTATCTCCCCCCCCCCCCCAAAAAAAAAAAAAACAAAAAACAATGTTGAAAATAGTTAAATGAAATATCTTTATATCATTAAAAATGTTCCCCGCAGGTAACCATTTTACTTGTTACCTATATTTGGCTTAGGAAAACGAGACAAATATGGCATGGGAGCGCCAGAGTAAACGTGTCTGGAAAGCAAAAAGTACATTTGTTCATAATTATGCTGACTTGCTGAGATTTACATCGCATGTCAAGACGCTTGAATGTCAGATATAATCATGTAAAATTTAAATATTACATCATGGACTTGATTAAATTATGATCTAGATCTGTATTTGCCATTTTATCAATGGTCATTATAACGAAATGTTTAAATGAAAATGCTGTACTTCTTTTTTTAGAATACTTAACAAGAAATAGTTCTTAATAAATGACCTATTTTCATTTTGAAAAATATACCTTATCATTTATGCTCTTAAAATACCAATGCGGCTATTATGATTTAAAAAGCACCATGGAACTAGAACATCTGCCGCGTGCGTCTTAGTTGCACCTTCTATCAGCGATTGATTTTGAAATGTTAAAATTGATAAATCGATAAATCAAGGCAAAAGGAAATGGAATTTATTTGCAACTATCATAAATTATAGAGTAGAATATAATGTAAACAATCACCTTATATTAATTTTAGTCAATTTCTTTCAAACAATTAAAGATTCTTTTTATGTGATATGGTGCTCTAAGACATGTAAACGGAAGTTTTCATGTAAAGATTTACCATCTTATTATATTTTAAAACATAATTGTATAACATTATGAAAGGCGTATATGATAACAATTCTTACATGATTTTGATAATATTTGATTGCAATTATTCTAATTTTCTAAGAGAAAGTTTATTTCATTAAGATTCCGAATTTCAATTTAGATTTAGCATAAACATGCTTGAACAAACCGAGCCTGCACTATTTCTTTTAATTTGGGCATTCTAAAGGGACTATTTTTATTGTTTTCTTTATAAAATGAGTTATTTCAGTAATAATATTTTTCTTCTTGTTCAACATCGGCGAAACATCGGAGTGACAACATGCTACATTTAATACAAACAAACTATTAATTGTATACTTCTTTATAATTATACTGCAAAAACTGGCACCTTCGTTATTTTTGCCGCAACTAATTTTATTTCTTATACAATGCATGTTATGTTATCGATACCACTTTTAGAGTTTCCCGCAATATTCTTTGCATTTTTCAATATTTCATTCAAATTAGATTGCACAGTGTTTTTAAATGTGTGATGGAAAAGTTACAAAGATAACTATGAATGTCTGTTGAGACTCTTTAAGACTGTCTGCAAACAGCCTTTTATAATTTGAAATGAACTACAATTTGATGTAGAGAGATTAAATAACTTGTTTGTTTCATAATACCAACCATTTTAATTCAATGTTTAGCACGAAATATAGAAATGTTCACATACTATTTAGGTCTATTAAAATGCATGTTATAATGTCCCATATTGGAATATATAGCTTTTCATATTGATATTGTTTTAAGAATATCCAGTCATGATATGATAATAAATACCTATAGTATACGAATATAACATTTCCCACTATCAAAATGATTTGATAATTGGCCCTTAAATAACAGCAATTGATATATCATAAAATATCTTTCGTTAGTTTTAATTTTGTTATTTTTACATTTAATCATATATCATAATTTAGTTCAGAACTGATTTTCATTATAGAAAAAATACATGTACGCTAAAATCATATGGTAATGGAGATAAATAGTGGATATTTGTTTAGTTCAGTGTGTAAGATAGGAATATATTTCACCAGGTGAGCACCAAAAGGTATATTTCACCAGTGGCGCAGTCACGAGTGAAATGTGAACTTTTGATGTTCTAGAGGTCAAATTTATTTCGATCTTCTACTGAATTAAACAAATTTTCTTTTTATTTTATGCAAAGAAACGTTTAAAAAGACATTTTATCCTAATACTAAATGAAACACGCGCCAGAAAATAATACAACGTGACGTCATTTACCACGTCACGTTATTTAGTTGGTTTCAAGTACTGTGCACGCTGGTACATGCAATTCACTGAAACACTGAAACAACGCAAGGGGCTCAAATTCAAAACAGTGAAATTATCAAACTGATTATCAAACTGATAATTTCACTGTTTCAAACAGTGAAATTTTCACTGATATATTTCTATAAACCACCGAAAAGCATGTAATAATTATTATTAATACTTCAATGAAATTTTATACAGCATATAACAAGCCAATGTTTTGATTGATGATAAAGCGATATGCGTTTTCTTTA